ACCTAGGTATTCATTCTGGGTGGTGAAGTTTCAAGTTGTTTTTTGTGTGTAGATTTTGATAAAACAAATACCTTACCAGTTATTTAGCTGGAGTGCTGGGTTCTCTCTAGAGCATCTTGATATTATCTAGACCTACAGAGTTGACAAGAGGCTAACTGGAGAAACATGGTCTTGTTTTCACCTTTATTAATCTTTTTCTCAGTATGGAATGCAACTTTTGTTTAATTCTAACGTGATTTAAGTAAGGTGACTGTGAATTTTAAAAAAGTATCTTTAAGTAGTCTGTATCATGTTAAGTATTTAGAATAAGTGTTGGCAGAGGACCAAACAGACCTAGACACTGTTCTTATTGTATTTAAACTCTTCTTTTCCTTGTTTCAGAAGCAATGGACCATCTGTACCTTTACAAGCAAAAATAGTTGTAAATGTGAAAAGTACACAATAAATTATAATTTAGCAAGTATATGTACTGGATTTCTTGAGGTAAATTGCGGACCAAGTTCTTGAATGTTTGCTGTTTCCTCTGTATTTTCCTGAGCTGAGAGCACTTCAGAAAACTTTAAAAAGATGCCTGTTCTTCAAATATAAATTTACTCTCGTCTCTGCTGTAAAGCAGGATAATCTCTGCTTCACAGACTTTGGGAAATCTGTAAAATTTTTTCAGAAAACATACAAATTTATTGATATGTATACTATAGTGATATGTATTAATTAAGTAAATTTATCCTATGTTACAGTAAAACATGAACATAATTTATTCATTTACTGACAGAATTTTTGCTTTCTAGGCTATGCTATTATTAAGATTAGATTGTTCAGTTTATTCTTCATGCTTGTAGTGTTGATGGATCTGGGGCACTTGTATCAGTGGGGACAGATCAGACTTAACAGTCTACCTGTAGCCACCTTGAAAGGGAGGAGAGAGGCTGGGATAGAAGTTCCAATGAGGCAGCTTAGTTTCGTGTCATATACTATCCTATATAGGCTAGAGATTTGCTATACAATTTTCAATTTCTTGTGGAAATGTGCCATAGCACAGCTGAATACTGGAGTATTTTTTTCTTGTTTTATTAAAAGTCAGTTTTATGTAATCCATATAGTTAGTAACACATAGTTAATTCACCTGTGTAGATGAATGTTAAGTGTTTGACGACAGTTTAAGGAAAACAAATTGTTGAAGATAAAAGTCCATGGAGAAGTTAAGGTAAGATGCCTTTTTTTTTTTTTATTCCTTTGTAACTTCAATACAATCCAAATTCATTTGATGTTAAGATACATTGTGCATTCCATATGGCCTTAATTTTGTACTAAAGTAATATGTATGATGCATTATTTTCAAAAGTGGATGTAAAACTATACTTAGCTATAGTTGCGGGAGGATGTCCTGGGGGACTATAGTGACAGTGGCTAACTGCCAATCAGAGGGGAAAATGAAATTCTATTCTTGCATTTTCGTCCATACAAGTATGCATATGTGGAACAGAAATCTTCTAATACAGGGCACTTCATTCTAGCAGGCAAAGTTAGAAGTCAGTGCAACTGATAGCTAGAAAAACTTTGACTTTAACTCAGGTGTTATTTTGAGGAAAGAAGGTAATTAACCTTTGGAATAGTGCACGAGCAGAACAGTTGTGATAGATTATCTGCCACTGAACATTTTAAAATTATACTTTCTTTTTCTACTTCTATCCATTTATTTCTAGAAAATATGCTTTATTTTAAACAAGATAAACTCTGCAGAGTCCTTGACTGGTGTTATTCATGAAATCGGAGCGGACAATTGCAATGGTTTGTTATGGCTTAATATCCTGCTCCTAGCTTGTTGTGCAATAGTGAGAAAATTGCTTCCTCCCTATTCTTTAGTTTCTCTATTTCTAAAAAAAGATCTTATAAATACTTATATTTTATTTTGCATTTTTCAAAGGAAAACAGATGTGTAATGTAGGAATATTCTGATAATACAGCCCTTGTTGTGTATGTCATTGATACAAGGATTTAGCCATTAGTCAAACTGATAAGAAAATGTTGACTCATAAAATTCAGTGATTACAGTGCTGAAGCTATGTAAAAAGTTTTTCACACAAATATATTTTTCAGGTTAGTAGAACTTGCAGTGACTTTACTGAGACCAGGAATGAGTGTTTACAATGTTGTACCTGAATATACTTGTCATCTTCCACTAGCATGGAAAACAACATTCAAATCACTGTGAAGATATTAGGACCTGATTCAAAACGTACTGAATTTGCCCTGTTTGGTGGGGAGTCTTTCAGTTAAACTCACTGGGATTTGGATCAAGACCCTAATTTGGAATCTGTAGTCTTGTGTGCATTTTAGGGGCACTCCCAAACTAGAACAGATTACCTCAGAGTTCTTTGTTTTCCCTGCTTTATACTGACTACAAAAGGAATTACTCCTGTCTGCATACTTGACATCCCCATTACTCCCTTTAGGACAAGTGCTCCTGTAAATGTAGAAAGCTATGTAAATCAGGCTTGTAATAAACACAGCTTAAATCAGCATGTTGTGTGGTACAACATGAAACAAATAGTATAATCTTTCTAGCAAATATTAAAAAAAAAAGACAGCTCCTTAATTTGAAAAGGAAACAACTAGCTTCACTTTAAGCTCTCCTTCCTCCCTCTCCTGTTCAAGATACTATTCATTAGTCAAAAAAGATCTTGTAGTAGTACTAAAACCAGGAAATACATAGTGAATGATAGTTTGACACTTGCAAATCTGAACAGGATGTGCTATGTTTCGAAAAACACACAAATACTAAGGTACAAGCAATGTCATTCCACATTAAGGGGCAGATCTAAAAAGGGATGAGCGCTCACTACTCCATACTGTCATTCTGATGTTCTGCAATGTGTAATTTTGTATGTATGGCCAGCACAGTAGACTTAAAACAGTTATATTATGTACAGGGAGAGAAAGGCCATGAAAGGCACCAGAGCCACTGAGCATGTAGTTATTCAGTAGAGAGTGGTGAAGGCAGAGGTGCATGTTCAGTTCTGCCTTAACATATTTGAGACATAACTATTTTTTTCTGTTAGAACTTTGCAGCAGAGGTCCCTCTCCCAATATGACTTCCTAAGTCTTCACAGAATGAACTAAAATGTTCAGGGGTTTCTTTTGGTGGGTTTTTTTTTTTCTTTTTTTTTTTTTTAAATCTTCCAGTGGCCGTGACCACCTCCAAAACAATAAAGTGTCTATTATTAGTGCTCACACACCATGTGTGGGAAGTACAGAGTCCTTCTTCCACTTTAGATGACTCAAACTGAGCCTCTGCTATGAAATAGTATAGGCCATACTTGGCTCAGAGGGATAAAGGGACAGTAACTTTTCTTTTGAATCTTAGCTACCCTAGATGAACTGCTTGAAGCAAGTATGAATACAGTTGTCAGACTTGGTGATGAAGCCTTCAATCAAGCAGCAGGAGACCTAGGGCCTTACCAGTGCTAGAAACGTCTGTTTATGGACCTATTGATTTTTTTTTCATGTAAATTATATACACTGTTCTTGAAGCAGGAGTCAAACCCACAGTTCCTCAACTTTTCCTGTTCTGTTTTAGTTTTAGAACAGAAACCTTGAATTTTCAAGAACAACTTCAGCACAATGATTCTTGTTGCTGTCCACACGTACGCATGCCTTTCTTTTTCACCCTGCAATGGTAAATTCCCTTGCAAGTGAGCAATCAGGATTTGAATCCTGTTAGACAGAGGATGGAGCTGAAACTCTACCGCCTTCATACATGGAAGATTCTACAAGTGCTGAGCTGTTAATAAAAAGATGCTGTAGCCTAACCCTTTGATATATCTTTAAAAACATAGCTGTAGTTACTATTGCATTGCTTTTGGAACCCAATCTAGAATGTATGCAAACTGCATTGTCAGAGATCCTCGAGATGCTAGTGGTTAGGCAGGAACTAAGGTCTGAGCTGCTCTGCTCTGTGTTAACTGGTGTGTTCAAAGGCAGGCATGAAAGCAGCAATGAAGGCACTCAGGACTCTTAAAAATGAAAACCAAGGTGCTTTTAGAGTTTGGCTATATTTAATGGTAGCTGAATAGCCATTTCATGATTCCCTAAATTCTACCTAAATTTCGGTTATATTTCTGCATCTTTTTTTGTATCTGACCATGGCTGTTCACTGAAAAAAGATCAAAATCACACCTTGCATAGTTACCATATGTGGCCAACCCCCCCGCTTTTGATTTTTCTTTTAATATCAAAGCACTGGAAAGAGCATCTAAGTTCACTGACATTCTTTAACAGGATGGCCTGTAAATAGTGTAAAGGTTTGCTTGCTCTATTAAAGTACAAGGCTTGTATCACATGCATACAATCTATTTCTTTTCTTAATTGGGGATTGCAATGTGTTTTGAGAAAAGAAGCAAAATTCATTTACCAGGTAATAATTTTTGTCTCGGAAGGAAAAGTGGTGAGTGTGAACTGTGCTTATCTGAACAGAACGTACTGGCCTTCCTAAAGGTCTTTTCCAACCTAAATGTTTCTAGGATTCTATGACCTGAAACAGTTTGTCACTTTGTCTTCAAACTAATAGAACAGCCTCCTCCTAGAGAAACTGTTGCCTTAAGGTCTATACAAGTGGTCTGTGCAGTTGGTGGGAACGTGGATGGCAGGCTGCAGCCAAGGGGTGGTGGTAAATAACTTCCTCTCAAACTGGCAACCTGTCACAAGTGGAGTCCCCCAAGGATCCATACTGGGCCCACCGCTGTTTAGTGTCTTCATACATGATCTGGGTGATGGGATTAAGTGTACGCTGGTGAAGGTTGCTGATGATAAGACTCCAGGGAGACCTTATAGCAGCCTTACAGTACCTGAAGGGGGCCTACAAGAAAACTGGAGAGGCATGTCGCTGCCTATGACAAGGGGCTTGGAACTGAGTGATCTGTAAGGTCCCTTCCAACCCAAACCATTAGGTCTATGATACTAAACTGAGTGGAGAAGTGGACACTTCAGAAGGGAGAGCCACCATGCAGGAAGACCTGAATAGGCTGGAAGAGTGGGCTAACAAGAATCTTATGAAGTTCGACAAAGACAAATGTAAGGTCTTGCACCTGAGAAAACATAGCCTGGGAGTGCAGCACAGGCTGGGATCTACCTGGCTGGGGACCAGCTCTGTGGCAAGGATCCTGGGGGTCCTGGTGGACAACAAACTCGATATGAGTGAACAGGGTGCTGCTGCAGCAAAGAAAGTCAACAGGTTCCTGGGTTGCATCAACAAGGGCGTCACCCGCAGAGACGAAGAAGTCATTATCCCACTCTACTCAGCACTTGTCAGGCCACACCTGGAATACTGTGTTCAGTTTTGGTCCCCGCTATGCAAAAAAGATGTGGACAGGCTGGAGAGGGTCCAGAGAAGGGCCACAAAGATGATCAGAGTACTGGGAAGCCTACCATATGGGGAAAGGCTGAGAGAACTGGGTTTGTTCAGCCTTTAGAAAAGAAGGCTTAGGGGAGAATTTATCATCATGTTCCAGTATTTAAAAGGTGTCTACAAAGAAGATGGAGACTCTCTTTTTATGAGGAGTCACATGGAAAAGACAGGGAGTAATGGGTACAAGTTGCTCCTGGGGTGATTCTGGCTGGACACAAGAGGAAAATTTTTCACAAGGAGAACAATCAGCCAATGGAATAATTTCCCTGGGGAAGTGTTGAATTCCCCAATGTTGGACAATTTTGAGATTCAGCTGGACAGATGCTGGGCCATCTTGTCTAGACCATGCTTTTGCCAAGAAAGGTTGGACCATATGATCCTTGAGGTGCCTTCCAACCTGGTGTTCTATGATTTTAAACCCATATTGCTTTTTCAAAAATAGTTCTCGTTTATGTCAGTCATGCAGACAAGGGAACTGTAAACCAGAACAAGAATAGACCAAAATGTTGTGAAAAACTTGTGTTCTGCGTACACAAAGGAAACTGGAAGTGTAGCCTTTGGCATAAGAGATTTCACTATATGTGTAAGGGAAAGCTGAGACGGTCTAAGGAAGCAGCAACTCACGCACTGACCTTTTTGCACCCTGAGAAAAAGATGCATTGTGTTAATTTTAGTTAGTGAGATAAAGACCCAAAAGTACAGATAGATTCTATTAAAATATGTTCTGACTATTTATAGAATAGCTATAAAATCCTGCTAGAATTTTCTCTCAAGTGAACTCTCATTATCAAATAAAACATTTACAGGGACCAAACTTGCAGCATAAACGTGCTCCTGTATTGAAACATAGCTACCCTTTAGAACCATCTCATATACTTGTGTCTAAACTCCCATTTTCAAAGTGTGGTAGGTGTTAGGAACATGAGGGTATCTCTTTCTATATGTATTAATTCATGTAATGTAATGCTGCAAGATGGAACACATTTACTCATGTGTTAAGATTATAATTGCATTTCAAAGCAGTTCTCTTGAAACATTCTAAAACAGATTATGTTCTTAAAAACTTCATTCTTTACTTTGCATGTTTTAGTACTACATCCCATTAAAGCTGTGTTTGAAGTTATGAGGATTTGTTAAAAATTTGATAATGCCTAAGTAGATAAGAGATTATATACTTTACGTATATATTTGAAGGATTTGTTCCAGCTTGGATACAGTGTATTAATTGGCCACCTACAGTGAACAGCAGTGTTTAATATATAGAACCCTTTTCCTCATTGTTTTCCAGGCAGAAGAGCATGTAAGTATTCTTCTAACTAAATTTGCTGACTTTCTGGAACACGTTTAAACAATGTGTGCTACTTGTGTCATATTACATTAAGTTCACTTCTACAGACAGGTTGTATACATATGTAATAAATAGCCCCTCAGGGATCAGATCTAGATTAACTGAGAAAAACGTACTCTGCTGTACATTAAGTAATTTACAATATCTCAGTAAACATTAGAAAAGACATGTTTGTCTCACCAGAACAGGTTAACAGTGCCTGCAGACTCAGTAATGATTGTAGAATGTTAAACTATCAAGTGGAAAGTTATAATCACTTTAAATATAGTCTAATTTTTTCCCCTAAAACAACAGACTATCTGGAGTTTGATACCATGATGTCTGTAATAACACTGAATGTTTATGATACAGAATGAAAGTAGTAAAGAAAGACACCAGTTCTGCAAAGGATCTAAACAGAGTGACTTAAAACTGAGAGAGGGAGGCTTGGAGAGAAAACTTGTTTAAGTGGGTAATCTTTTACTTAAAGATCATTCCTTTTAAATTAAATTGCACTATCTGCAATTAGAGATGAAACATGTTTTAGGCATGCCAGTTTCATTTACATATCACAAAATCCCTGTAGCCTCTTTATTTTTATCAGTTCAGTTCTGCCTGGTAATTATTTAAATACAGGTATGGTAACTGTGCTATTGCTGGTTTTGGTTTTTATTGCCCCAGTCCAAATGTACTTAACAAAGAGTATTCTAAGTAAGCCTGTGAAGGTTATTTCAGAAGACTTCAGATGATTAATACGGATATTCATTGCAACTCTAGAACTTATTTGTTAGATTGAGGAAAGTAACACATATATAGTGCAGCAAGAAATAAAAATTATCTTTTCTTCATGTTACATCAGTCAATCTGCTGACTGCATTGATTGGCTGTGTAGATGTAAGTTTTCCCAAGCCCTAAGAAAACAGCACTCACCACATAGCACTCGTATAAGCTTAGGATAAACCATGTAAGATAAGAAGTGCAGTGATTTCAGGATTTAGCCTAGCTGCCTTGGCTTTGATACACAGAAGGAGATAGAAAGTAGGCTAAATTCCAAATGAGGAAGCATGTTTAGAATTCTGTCTTAATTGCTCATTTAAGCACAATCATCGTAATGGTTTAATTAAATTATTTAACTGTCTTAAAGTCAGGCAAGAGGCCCACCAGCATAGAGAAATAACAAACTGTAGTAGGAGTGGCTGGACCAGAGGACTGTAAGCCCTGGATTCTGAAGAAGCCATTTAACACTGTTTGCTTGTCCTGAACCAGAAATAATAAATACTTCATTATACTCAATTATTGGAGATCCTAAGACAAGAAGCACTGTATTATGATTTAGTCATTATTATTTCATTATATATTAGCTTTGCAGCAAAAACAACTGAAGACTTTTGTACACGGAGTAAAGGTAATTCAATATACTTTAAGTAGGAATGACAAGATTAATTGCATATGAAAATGTTAAAGTAACTAAAAAGCAGTTGATGCAAATGTTCATAAACATTGTGGCTATCTGCAGAAGAGGTATAATTAAGTTAAAACCCAAGGTGTCATATTTACTTAGTCACTTAGTCTGATCTTACAGAAGCAGCTTGATTCGTTGCACGTGTACTGTTTGGGGGAAGAGAGCAACATATTTAAAAGAAGATGGCAAAAGTAAGAAGGAATAAGACTGAGAGAGTCACAAATTTTGAGTTCAGGGCACTGGGGGACTGATGAGGTATAATCCTGTAAAACTGGTATCAGCTGGGGTCAGAATCCCCGAGTGCAGTTTGTTTCAGGTAGGCCTGACTATATGCTATTCTGTTCAATCTGTCTATAAAAAACAATGGAAAAGACAGAATGATTTGTTTTTCATCTAAGGACCTTACATAGTGACAAATATGTCAGGCTTTGAGAGAAGCTTGAAAATTTAGTCCAGTGGCATTCAACCTACCAATCTTACTCTGTACTTCTCTGCAGATGAGTGAATTCTGTGCTTTTCTTGTTTACCTGCTTCTTTCTGTCCAGGGAGTAACTGGAATCCAAGACACAAGTGTCATGTAGTGCCAGTAACTCAATGTACAGGTTCATCTGTAATTAAATACAGTGCCTTTATTAAAAGGAAAAAAAAAGAAAAACAGAGTGAGAAGTGCTTTTTAGAAAGAAATCAAAAACTTAAAAAGTAATGACATCGATATTTAAAGAGTGCTGAGTTGTATCTTATGGTACCAAAAATGAGAAAGTAAATTAAAAACCTACCATGAACTCAAGAATTATGTGGACACAATCCCTGTTACTTTAAAGTGAGATATAAATCCAGAGATTTCTCATGCCATCATTTTGTAAATAATTACAGTTCTGCTGAATCTGTTGTATAAAGTTTACATGGGAGGTTCAGTGCACCCTCGCTCTTGTTTAGAACATTCGGAACCACCAGAGAGATGTTGACATATGGCTGCACTGTTTTAGTGCACGAGACATCTACTACATGGGAGCATAATAAACAGGAGCATAAAGACAGGTTTGTGCAAGCAGTTTGGATTGACCTTTTTGGCAGCTGAAATCCATCTTGAGTACACGGTGCTGATGTGGACAGACATGTAAACCTCGTCTTGTTACCACAACTACTAGTTTTACAAATATAGTCCACTGCTCAAAATGTATATCATTCTAAGTAAAGTGATTTTAAATCGGAGAAGGGTATGCAGCAGCAACAAGCCATAATAAGACACAGCAGAAACTGACTCTGAAGTTTGTGGCAATACCCCTATCAATAAACAGAGAGCTAGATAAATATGTTTCACACCAACAGGATTTCTTCTGATAATTTCAGGGAGATGGCTTATTTCATGTATTTTTTCCCTAGCAAAATATTTGACCAACTGGTACAGTATTTTAATTTTGACATTTAAAAGAACAATCTGCTGTCTCACAATCTGGTCTACAGCAGTATTCTTAGAAACAGAATTAATTCAATTGTATTGCATTTTTGAAGTAACATTTTTAAAAACTTAACACTTTCTACCTTTTGACAAGTATCAAACAGAACCAAATTTAGCCTTGTTTTAAGAAGTCCTAATATACTGTTGCATACCAAGGTATGAGCCTCTTTGTATAGCTCTAATAGCATTTGGATTCAAGAATATAAAATAATCACTCATTGTGATAATAAATTTTAAGGTTTAATCTTAACCGATGGGATGTAGGTAAGTGGCACTTCACAGCTCTAGATGCTCCATATGTCTTCAATAATTTCCTATTAAATTACTGAAAGCACTGTACATGTTATCTGTGGATATTGCCCATCAGTTCTAAATGGTTATGTAATAATGACAGAATACACCTATATTTTGTGAATTTACCTACCTATAATATTGTGAATTGCATGCTTTTAACAGTTTTCCTAAATTTATCAACTCACCAGTTAGTAAAATCCTGAGATCAACAAGAGTAAGATGCAAAAAAAATTCTTATTGTTGCAATGTTAAGAGGTGGCGAAAATTCCGAGGAAGTTAGCAAAAGAGTAATTAAGTAATTAGGCACAATAGAGAAGCTGGTTAGCATGAGATACTCCTTATCTTGGATATCACAAG